GTCACCGAGAATTTTAGTACGTACTCCTACTATAGAGTAATTCTACGGTTCTTGAGGAGATACCATGAGGTACCAAAAATTTAGTGTAAAATTTGGTACCTCATAGTACCTAGGTACCAAGAGATACCAAATTTACAATAGAAAAAATGGTATCTCATGATAACTTCTAAAGGACCGTAAAATTGCTCCCTACTATATATACACACATCCCCTGCTGCCAGCCATGCGTGTGTTTGTACTTTCCAAATTCATAGTAGTAGCGATTTGTGCGTATACGAATGCAGAGGTGGCGAAGCTGACGGCGAGCGAGTGGTACTTCTTCAGCTTCCGCGACCGCAAGTACGCGACGGGGTCGCGCACCAACCGCGCCACCAAGACGGGATACTGGAAGGCCACCGGCAAGGACCGCGAGGTGCGCGGCTCCTCGTCGTCGTCGTCGTCGCGCGCCGTCGTCGGCATGAGGAAGACGCTCGTCTTCTACCAGGGGAGGGCGCCCAACGGCGTCAAGACCGGCTGGGTTATGCACGAGTTCCGCCTCGACTCCCCGCACTCCCAACCCAGGGTACGTACGTCATACACATAAGCCGTGCGCCAACGCATTGAACTTATTTTGATCCTTATCACATTTTTTTATGTCCTCTACATAGATATAAGATTTGCTCCGATCCAATAAAAAATACCTCAAGATACCGGTATCTCACGGTACCAAATCATTTCCAATCGTTGGATCAAAAATGCCCATCCAGATCAGCTAGATCCAATGATCGGAAACGATTGGGTACCGTGAGGTACTGGTACCTTGAGATACTTTTTACTGGACCGAAACAAATCTCATATAAATATAGTCAGGTTTTCTTAATTAACGATGTAGAGATCGACATGTTTTTCTTAAGGAGTCTGTGGATAATATTACTTGAACATGCTAGCTAGGTATAGGTAGGTAGCACGTGAGTGTATGTTGAGTAACCACGTAGTACAATTGTAGGACTAATTAATCCGTTACTTATCAATCGCACAAGCGACCCCCCGTGAATCACTAGATGGCAAAAGAGGACCTCTCACAGGATGGAAATTAAGTTCATATGGAAGACAGTGATGCCAAACTCGTCACAGTCGACAGGGCCATAATCATGCACGATGGATATGCTCAGAGAGAGCAAACTAATTAGCATGCCCGACGCCGGCACGTGAATGTGGAGATACTTCCTCTTGCGTACGTAGGTAGTGCTAATTAAATAACAATCAACAATCACGTAGTGCTAGTGTGCTCCTTAACAATCCAGGATATATCTGTACGGGGGTGGTACATTTGTGACCTCTCTGTTTCTCTAAAAGAATTTTTTTTAAAAAAAATCTCTACGGAACACTTTAACCCTAAGTGCCTTCGCCTCATCATCCGCCCCGCCCTTTGACAGCTTAATATCGCCATATCGGCATGCTAGTACTGCCACCTCCCATGCACGGTCCCACCCTTGCATAGTACTCTAGCTTGCTATATTGTCAGCAAATGTAATGCATGTTCCCATGCCACACTTCTTCCTCTTTGTTGGCACCCTTCCCCAGCTAGAAGCACATACCGCATTACCACCGCCGATCTCAGTTGCACCCCAATTGACCTGGCCTCCTTATCTTGTAAAAACAGGGAGCCTCGTCAACAAAAGAACTAGGCATTGTCATTGTTAAGAGCTAGCATGTGCAAAAAATATAGTCATTATACTATATTTAGGATGTGTTTAGTTCACGTCAAAATTAAAAAATTGATCGACTTTCGGATTATTCTTATTCCCGGTTGGATTAAAATTAGAATGATATGACGGAAAAGCTAGAAATTTGTGTGTAGTAAAGTTTTGATGTGATAGAAAAGTTAAAAGTTTGTTGAAAAAGTTGGGAAGTAAACAAAGCCTTATTGTGTAATACACACGAGTATTTACTAATCAAGAGGACCAATAATTCCCTTGACTAGCTAGTGCTTGACCTGTCAAAGCCACGCGCGTGCATCGGCGCATGTATCATGCATGCATGCATGCATGGCGACGAACATTCAACGAACCAGAAGGAAGCACAGAGACAGCTAACTAAACACTACAGCTACAGGACGGCAGTACCCAGTACACGCACGCGTACCCGGGCAGCCAGCTGCATTATTTCATTATTTGTTTCTGCCTGGGCTCATCGATATGATCTCTCCTCCCCTGATGGAGTGACAGCACACTGTACACGCAAAGGACAAAGCTCAAGCTCTCAAGAGTGATGGTCACTGTACATGCATCAATGTCTGCATGCATGCGCACCACATATGCTGGCCCCCATGTACCCGTGGACCATTCGTGCACACTGCACAGGCACAGGCACAGGCAGTGAGAGTGTGTGTGTGTGTGGACCAGGCGGCGCCCAATCGGCCATGCAGTATGCATCCAATGACAATTATTGGTGCATTAGTGCACGATGTCCTACTAACTCGATCATCTGCTAACTTCACTAGCTGTACTATGTGGTACTCCACATACGTACTGGCGTACTGCTGTCTCAGCTTGTCATGGAGATGCCAAATTATCGCTAGTACAGAACTTGTTATCCGTAACGACTCTGGCCGTGTAGAGGGTTTGCGGCCGTCACATGGTTATCATCTCTAACGAGCCGAAACAAACACCGTTAAAGATAAACTCGTATAGACATAATCTATATGCACGTTATTTTGGCCTGATAGAAATAACTGTCATCCTAACTTCTCATATCAGAGATCTTTCCTTAGTGACGGGAGCTCTTCCCGATAGAGATGAGGCTTGCCGCCCGTTTCAGATGTCATATCCCGTGCTAGTGTATACGTGCTTACGTGCTAGTTAGTGCTAATAATTACTCACCATGCGTCTGCCTTTCATGTGTTTTGCAGGAGGACTGGGTGCTATGCAGGGTGTTTCAGAAGAGGAAGGGCGACGGCGACGGCCCGCAGGACAGCGGCGGCGCCGCCTCTCCCACCTTCACCGGCTCGATGTCGACGACGACGTTGTCACAGCTACAGCCGCCGGACCACCGCCGCCATGCAGCCGCAGCGGCGGGCGGCTACTACGTCGGTTCCCAGCAGCTGGCTGCTGGCTACGACTCCGCCGCCGGCTTCGCGAACCCCACGCAGCCGGCGGTGCCACATTACCAATACGGCGGCGCGGTTATCGGGTTCCCGGAGGAGTTCGGCGGCGGCGGCGGGGTAGCAGACGAGTACGGGTTTGGGACATACTTGGACTTGGGCTTCGAGCTCGACGACACGGCGAGTGTTCTTGGAGGCATCAGGTCGTTCCCGCAGGGTTGGAATTGATCGATCCCGGCACTAAACAAATTTATTTTGCGTACGTACGTACGTACGTATACGCGTCATATACAGGGTCCGATCGTTGAATTAATTAATTCCATTAATTGTTTATACAGAGTTTGTATAGGTTTACGTCGTCTTAGAGTATCTGTCCGGGTTTCGAAAGATTGTGTGAGCTTGAGATATGATCTCAATTGATGGATCATCGCGTATGTGTAAGGCGAAAAATCAAATGTAATATAAAGAATTCAAGTACATTGTAGAGGCCGGATTTTAATCCATTTTCTATTATATACTAAAGAATTCAAGCACATACCTAATGTGAATTACTAAAATACACTACCAATAGCACAAAAATTGTTTTTTCTGGGTGGTCAAAAATACTTTTTTTTTCAAGGGAGGTGAATGATCTGCCTAAAAACAAAGGCTACCGCTTATAAAAATTGATTTTCACATGTGGACACTGAAGACACACATGCATATGAAAAATCAATTTTCACATACGGGTCCTTACGACCCCCACCTAGAAAAATGTTTTGCCCCCAAAAAAAAATGAACAATACATGTAGCATCGATTCAAATCCACATGCATCTAGAGATTGAGATCCACACCCCACAACAGAATCAACACATCACAATGCAAGAAAAAACATGCAAACATTAAAAACAATATAACTTATCACAATACAAGAATCTACACAGACTAGAAAAATCAATATTCAGCTGCATCATCCTTTTGATCACCACCAACTTCCACGACCTGATAGTGTCCTCAACCACCTCCGCCTCATCCACGGCAACAGCGATACGGCGGCAACAAAGAGCAACTATAGTGACAGAGACCTGCATGGATCCCGCGCTCCCTAGCACTGCTTTCGGATTCACAACTCGTACCCTTTGCCGTCACGACTATCGGATTCACCTACCAACCTCTGCCATTATTAGATCCACCTCCCCCTTGCATTAGCACAATCGGATCTGGATGATTGCTCCACCACCACACCAAATCCGCTTTCTCCACCGGTGCCGCTCCTCCTGATCCACTTCCCAAAAGACTGTTGCCGCCAGACCCGCCTTCCTCTAGCAACGCAACCCATCATATCCTGGTACTCCTCAACCACTGCACCGTCACTGACGCTCTTCTCTTGGAGAGGTTTTGTGAGGTGAGAGAGCATCACCCTTGTACATGCCCCGCTGCAGTCACTAGGGATTTAGCAAAGCGCTTAGTCAGGGAGTTGTGCTAAGCTACTTGCTCGATTTTACTAACGTCCGATGATTATAACAGGCGGTCATATATATTTAGATGAACCATGTGTGAAAGTATGCATATCTTCAGATACGGCTCTATTGGAGGTTTGCCGGTTAAAAGCGTACGCACAAAACCTCGTCATCATTAATACCGGCCGAACTTTGGACCGTGTATAAAAATAAAATTAACATGTCTTTGAAAATGGTTTTGTTTTACTAATCAGATGGATATATATTACATATATAAACTTTTTTTCCTCGCAAAAAAAAGTTTATATATGTAATATATATCCATCTGATTTTTTTTAAGTTCTCAAAAAAAATCTGATTTTTTTTATATATATTAATGCCTGCAAGCTTCAAACACATAACTCAAGCTGACACATGGCCAGAGACGTACATGGTACTGCTCGCTCGTGATCTGTGGTCTTTTACTCTTCGATTTTGCTATATCTCACTCGAAAGATTTTTTCTTATCTCTCACTTGATTTTCTCACTCAAATTTACAGTGCATTTTCTTGTAAGTTACAGTGTAATTTATGAAACTTACACTGTAACTTTTGTAAGTTACACTGTAATATTTGAATCTTCGCATGTAAATTTTAAATTTTGTATTGGTTTTGGTCTTTTTCTTAAGAATACGGTAATTTAGTGTCCATTATGGTGTTTCTTAATTGCTTTTTGCTTTTTATTATATCTATCGGATTTTAATCCAAAGATTAAAAATCTGTGTGATATAATCATAAAAATCTTTCGAAAAATGTATAGGTACTCCCTTTACTCTTTTCAGTACACCGAGCCAACTAGGGATATCTGTTCTCTGTCCTGTCCTGTCCCTCTGAAGTTGGCGTCATTTTCGGCCGTGCGTGTACTACTGAAGCAGCAGGCCGGCCCGCTAGCACAAGCGTACAAAGCTAGCGAAGCCCAAGCCTGAAGCCTCTACTCCTGCTTGGGCCTGACGACGACGTACAGTACCGTGTGTGCGGTAGCTGTATCTACTGCTACGTGCGTAGTGCGTAGTAGTACGCGTTTCTGCTTTGGAAAGCCACATCGATCGCCCATATTTCCTAAGAAGACAAAATATTTGTATCTGTTTATAATAACTTAAAAACTAATGCTAAAAAGAAAATTGCGTTAAAAATATATTAAAATCAACTTTAAAATTAAACTAAAAGAAACATCAAATTTTAGTTTTTCTTTAACATCAACCGATGAAACTGGGAGACTCAGGTCCCGTTCTTTTATCCAACAAGATTTGGATAAAGATTAAGATTTTTGTGGCACGCTTTTTAAACCGCTAAGTGGTGTGTTTCGTGCGAAAACTTTCTATATGAAAGTTGCTCTAAAATTCATATTAATCTATTTTTTAAAAAAGTTTAAAATAATTAAAATTCAATCAATCATGCATTAATACCACCTCATTTTATGTAAAATACTTAATATCCATCTTCATCTTTATTTTCAGAAGAAAAAAACACCATCATCGGAGCCGTGGAGGGGGTACTCGTCGTGATCTGCAGGTAGCTGTTGGCAGCAGGTGCGTGATTGATGGAGCGAGTACGAACCCCAGTAGTGCACCAGTGTACACAGCCATCATCAATTCAATGGCTCGTACGTACGCCGCCTCGTCGCACGCGACTACGTACACGAGACAGCCAGCCAAAGCCGGCCAGTCAGCCAGCGACGTACAGGAGCGTACTGTAGTAAGCCGATCGCTATGCGACACAGGGAGCGTAGCCCAGATTTGTTCTCGGGCGACGGCCACGTGCCGGTGCCGGCTCCGGCTCCGTCGTCGCGCGCGCGGGCTGGTGACCTGGGTGTAGCATGCACGTGGGGCCTCGGGAATAGCTAGCCCTCGTCGCCGAGCGCCGACAGGGAGGACGGCGGCCCATGCGCCCCTCCTGCGGCCTCGCGGGCCCCGGCTGGGCCGTCCACCCCACCGGTCAAACACGCAGGCGGTCAAACGCGGCCGGGGCAAGCGTCACCGCGTCAGCGAGCGGGCGGAGGGGGGATGCAGCGGCCGTCCGCCACGCGGATCGGAGAGCACATGCGCATTGCCCGCGCCGTGTCATATCTGGCGATGTGCGTGTGCCAATAGGCCGGCATGCTCCCATGGCTTGTCTTGGTGATGTACTAGTCCACTTTTTCCATGCACACATGTGGATGTGGGGGAAGTTTCAGTATCTCACACGCGCACAAACTATAGTCACAGAATAATAACAATATATAGGAAATATAAAATACAAATATACTGAAAGTACGTACACGCTAATGCTAATGAAGAAGACGTACGACACATCACGCAGGCATGCATATGCATAATGCTGGGATTGGTCTAGCTGAACTAGCTAGTTCTGGCGTACGTTAGGGCCGGGCTACCGATCGATGGACTGGATCCAATGCTGACAAGGCCGTCGAGATGCTGTGATCGATTCTGGTCGATCTCTGCATGCTCGATCGACGGCGGCGGTGGTCCGTCTCAGTGCGGTCGTTGTCGATCAGCTGCACACTGGGACTGACGATGTCTTTGAAGGATGACAGAACAACAAGTAGGTGCGATATATGAAGCACCACGACTAGTACTGCTTCCCCTTCTGCAGTTCACCAGCTGTAGGCTGTAGCGCAGGTCTGAACCATTTTATCTTCCAAGCATGTATGAGAGTAAGACATGCAAGAGAGATCACAAGAGTTAAGGGACAATATTACGGATAAGTGGTGGATTCAGAAAATCGATACACCAGTGCCATAACATATTTACCCGTGTCATAATGTGCTATGTATGTCTAAACCATATTATTAGAAAAGTTTTATGGTACTTTCAAAAAAAAAATCTCAAAGTACCTAAAATTTACCCATACCTTAGAGATACCTATTACAAAGATACTAAATTTTACATTAGAAAATATAATAATCCCTTATACTTTTTAAAAATGATAAAATTACCTTTATCATTACCTTTTAAGTAGGTAGAAGAAACCATTTAATAGGTTTTGCCAAAGATGTTCGGGATCGTCTGACCCTCATCCAACTTAATCATTATAGATCATGATGGGTCCCATGACAATTGTAATCATTTTTTTAATCATCAACAGAAAAATATAAAGCCAATTTCAATATTGAAATGAAGGAGAAGCCATATTCAAATATTAATGCATCGGGATAGCATATAATATAACTATACGTGAAGGTACGTTCACATACACGCATATATGAGGAATCATAGAAGTGTGATGGTCGAATCATAGTTATGTGACTCTAAATATTAGGGTTCAAATCTCGTTGTTGACCCACAAATATTACACACGCCGTTGAGTTTTTAATAGAAATTTAGTGAGACTATTAACATTGGCATTTATTTCTTTGAGTGTGTGTTAAGATGCAGCTCATCGTAGGTGTGTGCGTGTAGTGTAGGAGCAAAAAGTATGTATATGTCTTTCATGTAATAAGAAAACGCAGGAATGGATGCAATGATGTAAGACTTCACATACCACTAGGCCCTAGCTAAATATGATTCCACATTCATACACACTTACATATGAGTAAATTCTAGTATAAAAAGTGTATATTGTTTTTTCTACTGATAAGTGAGAAGAAGGACAATTATTCATGGAAGACCTCATGATCGATGATGGTACAATGACATTAACCCAAACTACTACGAGCACACCACATTAAGTCTTCGCATTTGGGAATAGAGATATGGGTGGAGGTGGAGGCTCGAAGGGAGGCCATGAGGGCAGGATCCTAGAAAATGAGGGAGATGGTGGTAAGACAATGGATAGCGCCACATTAAGTCTCTGCATTTGGGAATAGAGATATTGGTGGAGGTGGAGGTGGAGGCTCGAAGGGAGGCCATGGGGGCATGATTCCAGTAAAGGAGGGAGATGGTGGTAAGACAATGGATAACGGTAGTGCACTAGTGGTTGTACCAAAGAGAGAGTGACGGTGGATGCTTAATGCTGTTCTAGTAGGCATAGGAAGGAGGGGGAGGGGGGGGGGGTTGAGAGTAAGAGAGGAGTTGGTTTAATTAAGCTTATAGTTGGTGCACATATCTAAAAGCAAATATTTTTCTACCATTACACCAAACACCAAAGTCACGCACTCGCACACCAACACACGTGTTACCTAATACATATTCAGGGAGATGGAGATGAGGTGTCCCTAACTATGCTAAAAAGGATAAAGGCAAGCAACAAATTTGTGTGTGTAATATTTATGGACATACTCTCTTCGTCACAAAATAACTCAACCTAGCTACTACGGGATGTGATGTATTCTAATACTATGAATCTGGACAGATTCGTAGTATACTAGGATATGACACATGACACATCATATACTATATTCGTTTATTTTGAGATGGAGGGAGTTGATCTCAAAGCAACCCTACCTTCTACTAAAAGTGGTTGAGACTATTACTTATTTAAAACCAAATGATTGACAAATAGCCGGTCCCAAAATATGTGTGCATCCACACCCAATTATGTCAAGATAGAATTCATCCCTCTGTTCTCCACATTTGTATATGCATGTGCGGAATGCCCTGCATGTGTGATCTGCATCACTGCATATGCTTAGCCCCTTGCGATCTAAACCATCAATTGAAATTTACATCAACATCAAATAAACAAAATCGAACTATATTATTTACACATAGCTAGTAAGCTTGATGGGCATATGGTACACACTGCTACCCTGACTGCTGAAGATCGACTTAATAAATATCTTTCAGAATTCTGAAGATTATTAGGTTGATCGAGTAGACAATAACAAGATTAATTAAATATAACCATATTATGCAATAAGGTATTAATTTGTAGCTGTCGTAACGTTTACTGAAACATAAATTCACACAAATATACATGAATTCAATTCACACATCGCAATGTGCGGCAAAATTTTTCTGTTATTATGAGACTCAAGCTGTGTTACGGTTGTCCTGGCTGAATCATTTCAGAACATGTGTGCTAGCTCAAGATTTGAGCTCTAGCTGAGATTAATTGCTGGTTGTAAAGTGATGTACATTCAATGTCTAGCTATGAAAAGTCAAATGAGACACATATATTTCCTAGCTAGCCCCGGCAATATATTTTTCCAAGCGGACGAACAAAACACACGCATAAGAATACATATTAAGGTATATCTTACCTTAGGTAAATCACAGTTTTAGTATGTAGTGTTTGGTTCATACCACAAATGTACTTTGCCTAACCATTAGCCACCTAGCCCACATGTCATACACTCTATTTTTTTTTTGCCTATCTTTATTTAAGCTTAGTTTGTCATTTTGTTTGCCACAAAGGTGTTTGCCGCAAAAGACTAAGCTTAGTCACCTTACTAAAAAATGTGTGGCAACATTAGTTCTCAATCAAACAGGCCCACAAAACATCTGCAAGTTACTGACTATTACAAATAAGTACAACTAATCAAGGATAATGGTCAACTGCTCTATAAAATATTAATGTGAAGCAAACAAACAATTCCATTGATTTGGGGAAAGTACACATGTATTCCTAATGCTTGGAAAGAATAAGTAATAATTGGTCGTAATTAAGTTGTAATTAATGCCCATTAACTACTATATGTTGATGAGAAAGCATTTACTTTACTTTGTGTGTGCACGCATGTACTACATGGTTTTTTTTAAAAAAAAAATCAGTATCAAAATTTTGAAAATATGTAGATAATAAGAATATATAAAATCTTTTTATAGAATGAATCTTCACAGTATTAGTATAGCTCTTGTTGGGCCTTACAGATATATCACAATAATAGACATTAGTGTTCAAAGTTATATTTCGAAGATCACTAGGTGTCCATATGAGAAGTACTCCCTCCATTCTAGAATATTAAGTGTTCAAAATCTATACCAAATATAAATATTTCTATAGTACAATTTCCCTACCAACCATACATCATAAGTATTTAATTCTCACCAAATATTACCCCAACCGCCCTTTCACTGTATGTTCAGCCATCTATAATTTAATGCGGTATATCATAGTCTTTTTCCTCCACCGTAGTATATTTTAGGATGGATGGAGTACTTTTTACTAGAGCAAAAATAATAGTTCATTTCCTAGTGAACTATTTAGATGCATTTATGGTTAATCTTCACTGGAACTCTTCATTTCACATTAAGGCATCTTATTTCTCGCTCCTTACCTCTAAACTTAAACAATTTAATCTTTTTTTGGCCTCCCTCAACTTTTTTTAAAGAAAAGGATAAAGGTTTTCCCCTCCTCTACTATAAAAATGACAAAAAAAAAGTAGGTAGTCATGGATTTATCTCTCATTTTGAGGGTTGGTGGATTCAATTCTGGTTTATATATAGTTTTTTTCTCCTCACTTTATTAATTGATGATTGTCTTCTTATATAAAAAAAACTTGGTGTTACGTTTATCACCCGTTATCTATGCCCTTAAATTATAATTCAATTGCACATATTACATATATCAACTCCATACATTTCAAAATATAGGGCACATTTTGTTTTTGTTAGAACAAGACTTTGACTAACAATTGCTTCCCTAATATATTATTTATATGACACAAAGAAGTATAAGCGTGCGAAAGTACTTTTAAAAACAAGACTAATAACATTAATTTTGCTTCACAAATATTATATTAGACTGCTTTCGTTCCATATTGATCATCATATAAAAAAACAGAAACTCTAAATTGATCTTCATATAACCATGGTGTCATTGTTTGACGTGTAACACTATTGCATCTATGCATGAAAATTGAGTCTATGTTCATGCATTTACACATTTAGGAGTAACTAAAGACTCGTTTCTTGTGTATGCGAGGAGTTAAATCTGCATGTTTCTTTATTCTTCCCCATCACATACACACCAAATGAAATATATGGTAGTTAAGTCTTCCTTGGTCTTGGTGAAAAAGCTTATATGATAATCAATATGGAATGAAGAAAGTAGTAGAATAACTATTGGTCAAAGTCTTGTTCAAACAAAACAAAATATATCCTATATTTTGAAATGGAGGAAGTAGTAATTGAACACGTCGCTACCTCAACTGAAACTATAATTAATATGAACACACAATAAATACAATAATAATGTAGCACAAACATAAAAAAACAAAAGGGTTGCAAACTACTTGCCTTTTCAAACTAACATGTTCTAAATTATCTAGTAATAACATGAGAATTCATTGAATGATTCTGTCTAAATTCATTATCTTATATATATTGACTTTGAGTCCAGAAAAACTACACCCTAAAAGGCAGTCCGACAACATAATCAAAATGTATAACACATGTTACCTTCAAACATTAATAATTTGCTAAGCATCACATTTTTCTGAAAAATATGACCTGGAGACAACTTGTTAATTTACATAACCACCATATATCGCTAATTTTTTTTAGTAAGTATTCTAAGTATTAATAACAAATAAAGGTGCTAAAAAGCTATGGGTTGATTATATCAAATTGTTCCGCTAAGAATGGCTGAGTACATAAAATTAAGTTAGCACAAGGTCGATGGTATCATGATGAACATTTGCTAACATACACACACTAGAAACACTGAAAGTTTATACTATCATATAATTATAATTTAATTAGGCTTTGAAGTAGTTAATAGCTCCATACATCAGTTACACCAAAATGTTAATCATCTGACTTGTTTTCACATTCTGTTGTGGATAGCATGAAAAAGGGTGTGTGTGTGTGGGGGGGGGGGGAGGGGGGGATATGTATCGTATCTGTGCATATTATGAACACGAATCAAGTTGTATCAAATATATTTTTGAAGTCTCTACATCATTTATCTTACAATTAATTAGGGATGTTGGACAAAATTATGTCATCGAATTGAACCAGTGTTTATAGATTTACTTTTAATTAGTTATTAATGATTATATACATATTTGACTGTTGATATATGCAGACATGACATTTTCATGACACACATATATCCATCTATATATATTCAATGCTTCATGTTATTTCCCTTGATGCATCTCTATGTAAAAGTTAATTGTAATGGAACTCGCAGACCAACTACTATAGCTAAGTGTAGTACCTACATTATCCACAATGACTAGCACTGTTAATTATTGATCTTCTTATATGTTCATCATATGATCTTTCAATCTAGCTAGTCTACAGCTGAAGATCAATATTGGACTGCAATATGGAGTGCTCGTCCACGATCATCATTCTGCTGCATCTCTATGGTTACCAACAAATAATTTTTATGGTAAGGAATGTCCTGCCAACCCAGATATGTAATAATCATTCGTTAGATGTTTTGCTGGTTTAGTTTGCCTATATGGCTATATATATATATATATATATATATATATATATATATATAGAGAGAGAGAGAGAGAGAGAGAGAGAGCTATCTATATCCTTTATGCACCTCACACACACACTACCTCTTGATACAAAGCATAATTGTGCATCCATGCATGTGGATGCATGTCATAGTTTCACGCATGAAATCATCAGGAGCTGGGCACAAAGCCAGAGATGAAAATCCAAAAACAAAATGACAGTTCGAATCAAAAGGATCAACGCAATTCTGGGGGCAAAAAAAAAAACAACCTAGCTGAACAGTTGATATGTACAGTTAACTAAACATGCGCCATCCCCTCATTTGGCTTCACCCCCATGTTAACTAGACATGCTACTATACTGATCAAGTACTACCACGAGCGGCGGGGAGAAAAGGACATAGCTATAGGTAAAACTATTCGGTAATTTGACCCTCTATCCGCGAACCAGCAGCAGGCACGCGGTCTCGCTTGGTAGAAGAAGAAGAACAGTAGCTAGCCAGCGTACTGTTCATGGGGAGACCGAGAGGATTAGCGCAACAGTAGCCGTCGTCGTCCTTGCCTCCGCTCCGTGCGCCGCGAGACAGTGCCCTCCGTGCGCGCGCGCGCGCGGCCGGCGCGCGGGAGCTCCAGAAAAAGGAAGCGACACAGGAATCAGAACAAGAAACCCCAAGAGGATTCGTGGAGGAAAAAAAAGAAGAAAAAATGGAGAGTATCTTTGGATTGGACTCGACAAGCAATTCGCACACGAGGTTCATGCAGTGCAGCAGCTAGCTAGATCTGGCACGAAACTAGTAGTACAGGTGACTATGGAGAGAGATGCCAGATGCATGCATCGATCCATCCATCCTTGGCCTATCTCTCTAGAGAGTTAGAGAGAGAGAGATGGAGTGTGAAGACCGGTCACCGGCCGGCCACTCTGAATTTCTCTCTCTCTCTCGTCTCGTCCTCTCTCTAGACTTTGAGGGGCATATGGTACGTACTACAATATACTACTACTACTACTCCCCATCATCTATCATGGCAGTGAAAAGTAAGAGAGGGCGCATTCACTTGCTTCGACGAGCAAGAAGTTTGACAAGAAAAATTAAGCGGGAGGAGAAGCAGCTGCTAGTAGTAGATGAAGTAGAAGCGAACAACAAATGTAGCATCGATCAACAAGATGATCAGTCTGGGATGGAGCTAGCGGCCGGCGCGCGTAGAATTGATAAAAAAAAACCATGCATGCATGCACAAGCAATTAATCGAAAACCTACATAAAATATGCTCAATCCGGCGTACCAAATGGCAAATGGGTGCGTGCGCACGTACGTGCTAGTTGCTCGCCATCAGCAGGCCGCGCCGGCGGACGGCGGCGGCGGCGGAGGCGGCGGCGGGTGCGGGTGTCCGCCGCCGCCGCTGGTGTCGGCGGGCTGCGGCTTCTTCCGCTTCTTCTTCTCGTAGCTGACCCCCCTGGCGCGGGCCTGGTGCTCGCGGACCTCGCGGAGGTAGAGCCTCACCGCGCGCACCGCGAACGGGTTCGACTCCGGCCGCCCGCCGTTCTCCTCGAACGCGGCGCGGAGGCGGCCGACCAGCGCGTCGAGGCTCCCCCACGCCTGGCGCAGCGGGCAGGGGCACGGCGCCGGCGGGTTCGGGTGGCCGAAGAAGGGGCACGCCGCCGTGTGCACCTTCGTCTTCCCGAACTGGTCCAGATACCGGAGGAACTCCAGCACGTGCGCGCCGCTGCACTGCGCGAGCCCCAGCGGCGGCCGGTGGTTCCGCAGGTACTGCCCGAACGTGTTCCAGTCCCGCCGCTTCTGCGCCTCGTACCGGCTCGGCGTCTGCGGCGTGGCGGCGCCGCCTCCCGCCGACGACGACGCGCCCGCGCTGCTCGATCCGCCGGCGCCGTCACCTCCTCCTCCGCCGCCGCCGCCCGCCGTCGGTGGACTGCTCTCGTGGTTCGGCGGCGACAGCTCCATCAATAATCTGCCATCACACCACCCAAGAAAACACAGCTTGATGCAATCCTCTCCCCTTCTTCAACACGATCGAATGATGAAGCTGATGATGATTCCATGCATATAATCTGGGTCACCGGGGAGAGATCGAGAGATCCATTTGGGGTTGGTGCTCTGCTCTCCTCCGATTTATATATGTAATTCTTATCACAAGAAACAATACATTTCTGCGACGCACACATGTGGGAAGGTATCGATGGGTAATGGCCAACGGTACCAGCATGCTACTAGCTTACTATACCTTTCTGTGGCGGCGGCTGCACCGGCGGCTGATCTCCTCCTCTCTCGTCGGCAGCCGTGTCAGAGCGGCGGAGAAGAACAAGAATCTGCAGGAGCAAGAGCTCAATATAAGGAGAATAAGCAAAAGGAGAGATCCTCCTTTCTTCTTTTTTTTTTTCCTGCCACTCACCCTGCCTTGCTCGCGGTGGTATAAGCTGCTGCTGCTACTGCTGGTTCTTCTTCTCCCCTCATAGGGCCATGAATCCCCACTTCCTCAGCTGCTACTGCTTCTCCTGCAGCTGCTGGAGCTTGTGCTATCTAGGAGTAGGAGTGTGCGAGGAGAGAAGAGTGGGGGGAATTGCATTTGACGCGCACTGTTACTATTTTTAGAGAGGGGGGAGGGAGGCGCAGGGGGTGGTGGATGGATTGTTTGGCCTAAAAAGGAGAGATCCCTGAAGCTAGTGTGAGAGATGGAACAGAGGCGGTATAGTAGTGAGCAGTCAGCAGCTGCAGCTGTACTGAAGAGGTAGTGAGAGGGTTGTGCTACTGTTAGGGCTTTTAGGTGAAAGGGAGGAAAGGGACACTGTGAGTGTGAAGTGAGAGGTGACATGACTAAAGGTGAAGAAATATAAAAAAAATACTACTACTACCAGTACAATTTCTCTCGTCGTCGCCGTCGTGGTGGGGGTGGAGAAAGCGAGGTCGGTCAGGTCTCTTCCTCCCCACTGGAGCTCGATCGATCGATCGCCGGCCGCCGGATCGGGAACGGACGGGCGTCGCGGCGGCGGGAGGAAGAGTCCAAGACGTGCGGGGGCCCCGGCCCCCGCACGCATCATCATGCGAGAGATGTGTGGGGGCAGAGAGGACACATCTGGGGCGTCCAGCATCCAACGGACGACTCGTAAAGAGGGTGGGGCCGCGCGCTGTCCGTACGACCGGCGACGATCCGGCCCCGCCACCGCGCGGAGACGACAACCCCTCGATCGGAGCACGTAATGGGATGGCAGCAGCAGCAGCCCTGCCTAGCTAGCTTGTCCAGGAGCGCGCGCACACATGCTTATGCGAATTAAGCCCTACTCGATCAGGTGTGAAATTGTTCCTGCGTAAAACCGACCGAACCGATCTGAATCGTGCCACACGCATCAGCTCGAAGAATTTCGGATGGATTCTCCTCACGAAGGATTGGAAAGAAATATCCATGGGATAATGGCCACTAGCTAGCTTGGGCGGCGTACGTGCGTTATCAATTCTGCGATGTTGATTTGGGTCGTCGTTGCTAGTGTGGCTAGAGCTAAGACAGTGAAACTGAGCGAGCGGCCAATTTGTTTCGTTTCGCGGAACACACGTACGTAAGGCTTTGGTGTTCCTCCTTGTCTCGATACTGTTGTCGCAATACTACTACGTACTTGAGTTCTACAGCTAATAATTAAAAACGGTTTTGCTAGCTAGCTGTCGACAGTTTTCAGGACTGAAAACTGCCAATTTTTTTGACTGTTGATTCCGCGCTAAAATTTATGTTGAGATATTTTGCTATCGGATCTAAACCCTCTTTCCACAAGCTAGCTACACCATTTCATGTTTATGGCAGATTTATTCAAGTTACATGTAAGTTATATCCTAGTTACATTGTAACTATAGTGTAACTACACTATAACTACTTGTTATCTCTATATAAATTAGATATAAAGTTGCATATATTATTTTAATACATATGTACAAGTTATTATTATTATTATTATTATTATTATTATTATTATTATTATTATTATTATTATTATTATTATTATAGTGTAGTTCTAGTCAAATTATATACTATAGTTAGATTTAAAAGTTTTTCTCTCAAAAAACTTGCGACGGTTTTTTAGCTAATCCCAATTAAGAAAGAGTGATATACGTACTGAATCAAATACTCTCTCTGTCCCATTGTCTAGGTTTATAGCTAAAGATACACTCTTTAAGAAACGGAGGGAGTGCATTATATATTGGCCGACATCTTTCTCTCAATATATAATAATCATATATTGAATTTAGTGTATTACATATGTGTTATATGTTGGTAGAATATTTTCCTGATTATCATGAATAAAACTATAAATCGCGATGGTCCAATCAATATTAATTAAACATATTTCGTTGGAAAGGAAGGTTTATATTCATGCCAACATATCATACAGGAAACACGGAATGATTTATACAACTTAATCTTTTTTCATATGTAGATTATTGATGAAGTCAAGGAAGAAGTAGGGGAGAGAGAACAACATATAGAAGTAGAGATTTTGAAAGGCGAAATCGCCTTAGTGTTATTCAAGTTTTTCTTATAGGCACAACTGATTTCAAGATAGGATTCGAGCTATGTTATAGCGACAAAATGATGCAAAATGACAATAAAGAACAAACTAATTTTGAAATATAGAGGAAAATATTAAGATAATTTCATTTGTTTGGTGCCATTATTTCTACAGAAATGTCAATCAATCGACTTTATAAGATACCTAGATAGTTTTGTGAGGTATATAACCCTTTATTTCTATGCTTTTTATACATGAAAAGACAAAAACATCTATTGCTTTCACTATCTTATTTTATTTATCATATCGAACTGATTCGATGACTTTACGACACCTGTTGATTGGGGTCTATTGTTATGTCCTAACTAGTACATTACCAAGAAAAGGTACCTAGAATTTTCCATTTTGGTACCACGCATGGTGTAAGGCTGAAACTAAACCCTCTCACCATTTGGCTGACACACGACTTGTTAGAGTTTATGGTACAATGATTGGGTGGATCAGGAGATTTAGCTACTAAAGTTTTATTTGAAAAGTCGTCTTTCTGTTCTAACAACTTTGAATATATCTAGCTTTTAGGCGCTTCCAAAGACCACAAGCTGGTGCATATATTGTCCGTAATAATGCACGTGGGGCCAGAAGCCATATATGTCACTGTTATTGGGTAGGGCAGCATCAACATTCATTTGCCACCATCATATACCACATCAGACGATTGATACTTTTATTACTCTATAACAGTGGTAGATCCAACCAATAGAACATAACCAAATATCCAAACCCATATCATCACTTGTTCGAAAATGTAATTGCTAGTAGACTACAACAAAAACCAACAACAATAATATATTATTGGTTTTAAGTGTGAACCGGTAATGATATTTAAATATCTATACTACAAACTTGCAGAAATATGTATACTTGTAATAATGTCGGGCAAAACCGGTTATTAATTTAGTGTCGCACATGCTTGTGTCAGTCTCTTGAAAATCTAAGTTGCTCATCCGGCGCGCTCTCTCTCTTATCCCCTCTCTCATGAGCTCTACTTTATTTCTAACTGTGGTTGTATTCTTTTGGAGGGGTTCAGAACCCCTCCCCTCCACAGATAAAAAGGAACAATGAATTAACGCATGATTAATTAAGTATTAGCTATTAAAAAAAACTTTAAAATGGATTAACATGATGTTGTGAAGTAACTTTTTTCTAAAAATACAGACCGTTTAGTAATTTGGAAAGTGCGCACGGTGGAAAATTAGGGTACTTAATTTGGTGGGTTTAATCCTCCCCTTTTCTCCCATCATTCCACCCTTTATTTTCCCCAATTCATCCTTCTAAAAATTTGTGGATGAAAGGTCCAATCTTCTCGAGCTCAGGGCCGCTTCAAGCACGAGAGGTGCCGGATCGATCTTGCACCGCTCCACGCTTGACGCTTAAAACTACAAACCAGATCCAGCGACGGTGCAGTGCAGACATAACGACGAGAAGACGATAATGGCAATTGGCAAGTGGTGGCCTCAAGACAACACAACGATGATGATCAGAGAGGAGAACTCTTGAGCGCTATTAATTCCAGCTGCGACAACGATAATAGTGTTTTTTTTATTTTTTTCAAAAAAGAGTGTGCCACTACCGGTTTATCAGAGTAAGTTTAATAGTGTAGCCAACTACTAGCTCCAATTCATCTATAGCTAATCTAATAGCTCATTCATACAATAGTTACATACTACACTATTAATATATGGTCCTGCTTGTCATACACACACTGCATCTTGAAGTCCATGCTACAGCTAGCTACAAATCTGTAGCCCACTGTCCTTCTCTCTTCTTATTTATCTCTTTAAAATATGTTTGCAGCTTGCTTATAACATGCTATTGTACCTGCTCTTAGTATCTCTTGAATCAGTAGCGTTAGGCTGCGTTCGAGCGCAGGAGAAAGGGAGAAAGATTGTTTCGTTTTCCGCGCACACGCTACCCGAACTACTAAACGGTATGTTTTTTTGCAAAAAATTTCTATAAGAAAGTTGCTTTAAAAAATCATATTAATCTATTTTTGAAGTTTAAAATAGTTAATACTTAATTAATCATGTGCTAATGGCTCACCTCGTTTTGCGTATCTTCCTAATCTCCTCGATCTCCTCCTTCTCAAACACACCCTTAATGTGTACTTCTGGAGTATGCCTCAAATATTGATCTCAAATATATATGACGTCTCCTATATATGATATCTCCGGTTTTATATGAAAGGCAAAAGCTGTACTCCTACTAGCTAGCTAGCGTACAATAAGCTAGCAGCGCTGCAGCTTTTCTTGGTTAATTCGATGCAATTCACAGTGCAGATTCCATTTGACCAGCCCCAGGACGCTGCAATGCTGTAGTAAAAGGAGGAGTACGTACTGGCCGGCTGGCTTGGTCTATCTATGATAAGTCTATCGTGCTTGCTGTACTTACTGGACTGCACCACTGCTTCTCATCAGTGTGTGCAACGCCCGGCGCCCCCAACACATATATATGTATTCACGCGCTTAAGACAATAAGCTTTGTTCTGCATATGCCCTGGCTTTCTGCTCTTTCCCCTATACTGCTTTTTATCCGTGTTTATTTGGTTTTTCTTGTTCCATAGGAGTACATATACAACCTCTGTTCTTAAATATTAATATTTCTATGATTCAATTTTGTAAAATATAAGAATTTCTAGGATACTAATTCGTTCCAATGCATGAGAATCTAAGCATTTCCAGCTAATCAGCTACTTCAGAGAAGAATACGATATTCAAAATTTAACTAATGACTGAAGGGGAATCTTTCACTCTAACCTTAAGCTTTACTTCATTTGTTCACAAATATAAGGTAGTTTGGTTTTATTTAATTATGGAATGAAAGGAGTAGAGATACGAAAGAAACTAGAATATGTACTCCCTCCGTCCACAAAATACAAGATATTTTGGTGTTCGATTTTTATTGACAAACATGAGAGAATTTTATGAGTTTTATGAGTTTTGTACCCATTCGTTCTAAAATACAAGAATTTTATGAGTTTTGCACAATTATGAAGGAAGTAGCTGAAACAAATTAAGGTTTTGATTGATCGAGATGAGAAAGGAGATAGAAAAATTATATGGGTGATATTTGTGATTAGTTGAGATGAGGAAGTAGCTGGAGAAGTTATATTATTGTTGAACAAATTTGGAATGCTAGCTACAAATATTGCTATATTTTGAGATGTACAGAGTTTCAATCCATCCGACCATTGT